CTGCTCCTTCTCTTTCTCTTTCTCTCTCCTCTCTTTCTCTCCTGGAGATTGAACCCAGTGTGTTACACACACTAAGCCATTCTTCATCTTGTGTTGAGAATTTATGGTGGTGTTAAGAAAATGAAGAAGTCTTACACCACTCCCAAGAAGATTAAGTATCGAGAAAGAAAGTTAAGCTGGCTCTTCTGAAATACTATGAGGTGGATGAGAATGTCAAAATTAGTCATGTTTGGTTGGGAGTGTCCTTCAAATGAATGTGGTGCTGTAGTTTTTTATGGCCACCTACTTTGACAAACATTATTGTGTCAAATGTTGCCTAACTCATTGCTTGAACAAACCAGAAGAAAAATAATGTGTGTGGATTCATAAAAAACATGAAAAACTCATGGTGTGTTAGTTAGCTTTCTATCACTGTGACAAAGAAAAGACTAGAGGTGTGGCTCAAGCAGTAGAGTGCCTGCTTTGCAAGCACGAAGTCCTAAGTTCAAACCCAAGTCCCACCAAAAACAACAATAACAGAAAATCCCAAAGATAAAATAAAATATCTGAGAACAGTTTATTTTGTCTTATGGTTTCAGAAATTTCAGTCTGTGGACTGGAGGTATGGTTCAAACAGTAGAATGCCCTGCCTTACAAGGCAGAAGCCCTCAGTTCAAGACCCTCCCTCAAAAGAGAAAAAAATAAATAAAAGAAAGAAATTTCAGTCTGTGGTTGGTTGGTTGGCCCCATCACCTTGGGCTTGTGGCAATGTAGCACGTAGTAGACAGAAGTGGGAAGCAAAGAGAGGTGGGATGGGGGCAGAGCCTCACTATTTCCTTCAAGGGATTACCACCAATAACATAACTTCTTTCCACTAGGCCTCATGTCTTTTTTTTTTTTTTTTTTGGGCAGAATTGGTGTTTGAACTCAGGATCTCATGCTTGCTAGGGAGGTGCTCTACCACCTGAGCCACTCCACCTTTGCCTGGGCCTCACCTCTTAATGGTTCCACTAGCTCCACATAGTATCAACAGCTGGGGATCAAGCCTTTAACACGTGAACCTTTGGAAAACTTAAGATCCAAACTATAACATGTGGCACTAAGAACTTGAAGTAATAAGCTCATGTTAGTTAAAATTTGCTCAGATAAACCACTTGAGCAAGCCTACTTGAAATAATAAAAATCATTTCTGTAATTATTATCCATATCATAAAGAAGGGAGTTTTATTTCTGCCATTATTACAAATATATGACAGTGCCTTTCCTATTGCTGGCCTCCAAACTAAATTGTGAAAAAAAGCACTTATATTCCTATTCACTTTCAAAGATTATTCACTGGATGCTAATTCACTACATTTTTGCTTTGTACTAATTTGTTTTATGTTGAATCAAAATCAGGAGAAATATTTATTTCTCCAAATATTTATTAACATCCAAAGCTACAATTCATTGGCTTTGATGAGCCACACCTTAAGTCCAGTGGAGAATGGACGGTCATTTACACCGATTTACAAAGGTGAGTGAGGTTTTTTCCTTTGGCAGTACTGGGGTTTGAACTCACAGTCTTGTGCTTGCTAGACAGATGCTCTAACATTTAAGCCCACAGACTATAACTTGAATTTTTAAAGACAAACTAAGCAGGAAGTTTCTGGGCATTTCTCTGTATGTACCACATAAACTGTATGTTTACAAAATTATAATACTTTGTCCTTAGTGTTGAAAGCCGTATCTTTGCTAGCCAGGTGTGGTGGTGCACACCTGAAATCCCACGACTTGGGAGGCTGAGGCAGGAGGATTGTGAGTTTGAGGTCAGTCTGCTCTATAATAGGGAGTTACAGGCCAGTTTGAGTTACACAGAGAGATCCCATCTCAAAAAAACAACAGCAAGGCAATGGAGGTGTGGCCCAAGCAGTAGAGTGCCTACTTTGCAAACTTGAAGGCCTGAGTTCAAACCCTAGTAGCACTAAAGAAAAAAAAAAAAAAGAAAGAAAGAAAGAAAGAAAATAACAACATGTCTTTCAGTCTACCATATGCAGTGGAACTGCCATCATTTTGTATGCATCAGTGGTGTCCACTCTTGAGGTAAACACACTAGCAGGTAGAAGGCTGACATTACCTTTTCATGTTGTATTCCAGAATTCTGTGTGATATTTGATAAAAAAAATTTGCCAACAGCCTGTTATACTCTCTCCAAGCTAAATATTTATTATTGACTTTGTAGCTATTTGTACAAACATCTCTGTAACAAATATTCTACCAATTTTTTCATAAGGAATATAATGTGCTCTCTTTTCCCACAGTTATTGTAGATTATTCTAGTTATTCCATGTTATACTAGAAAACACTATTTTGCACTTATTCTAGAAACACACTTTATTTGGCATAGATATTCTTGCATTTTGCTTAAAAATGTCTTGAAACCTTCCATTGTTTTGCAAGTCAGTATTTAACAAAATTTCTCAGTAGTGGAAGTACAGTGGGCAAAGGACAGATTGCTAGCCAAAAAACCTAATTTTAGACATTCAGAGATGTACTTCCTATTTACATTTGATATTTTGGCTGCTTGCAGGTCACATTTAAAGTCACATAATTCACATTCTATACCTGCACTTGTATCTTGTTTAATAGTTAGCTACCTTTACTATACAATTTTGAACTAAAGTACTTGTTACTTTTTCATCATTACTGCTTATATATTAATGTACTTATTTTTAACTTTCTTGAATTAAAAAAAATGGTTAAAAAAAGACCAACATGAGATTTATCCTTTCAATGTACTTGTTTTGAATGGCTGATTTTTTATTTTATTCTATTCACTTATTTATTTATTTTTTTGTTTCATTTTATTTTATTTTATTCATATGTGCATACAATGTTTGGGTCATTTCTTCCCCTTTCTCCCTGCCCCCTCCCTTACCGCCCCCCTCTATTCACTTTTTTAAAATCATATTATTGTATGTTGTACTGGAGGTATATTGTGACATTTACAAAAGTGGTTACAATATATCTTAAATTCACCCCTTCATCATTCTCTTTATTGTCCCTCCCCCTCATTCTTAGACTAGTTTTTTTTTTTTTAGCTAAGATATCTTCTTTTTTATTGATCTTTGTATTGGTCTGCTAGAACAGACCCTAAAGGCAGTCCAATCCTACCTTAAAAGTATCTTCAGTTTTTTGCATTTCTATGGAGAGAAATAGCTATTTTTTTTTCCATTTATTCATATGTGCATACAATGTTTGGGCCATTACTCCCCCCTCCCCCCACCTTAGACTAATTTTGACAGGTCTCTTTTTTCATTTTCATACATGAGTATATAATATTTCCAGCATATTCACCCTCCTATGCCCTTTCCTTGTATCCTTCCCCTCCCACTGGTACCACCCCTCATTATTTACTTATTTTTTGGTGGGATGGGGTTTGAACTCATGGCCTTGCACTTGCCAGGCAGGAGTTCTATCTTGAACCACACCTGAGCTCAATGTTTTATTTTTGGAGAATCAGAAATATAACACAACAAAGTGGTAACAAAAATGAAAATTTGATAAATGTAAATGTTATGCAAATTATGTTTAAATGCCTTGGCCTTTTTTTTTTTGTGGTACTGGGGTTTGAACTCAGGGCATACATCTTGAGCCACTCCACAGGCCCTTTCTCATGATGGATTTTTCGAGGTAGATCTCATGAACTATTTGCCTGGGCTGGCTTGGAACCTCGATCTTCCTGAGTAGCTAGGATTAGAGTCATGAGTAACCGGTGCCCGGTCGGTGCCTTGCTTTTTAACTAAATGAGATAAATGGATCAATGTCTTTGTAGTGCCACATGCAACCTCTTAACGATGCAAAGATGCTCCACAGCATAATAGAATTTTTGTTAGGTTTCTAATTAAATTTATATTAAAAATATGTGAAAGATACGTAGATACATGAAAAAGTAGTACCTTATAGTGATAAAACTGTAGACCTAAAATAGAGGATTGGGTCAGAGTCCAAAGTCAGACTCCTTCAGTTTGCTTTTTACACCACTACTGGGTTTATTTGCTAGGTGTCCCTTTGCTTAAACACTTTGCTTTTGTTTCTTTACCTGCAAAATGACAGTAACAGTAGAATCTACTTCACAGTATTGTTGTGAGGATTAAATGAGTAAATACATACGTGTCTGGCCAGAAATGTTTAAAAGCTTCCCTTTATTAGAAAATAGATCTGTGCGGTCATCATCTTATCACTTCCTTACTAAAAAATGTCACTTTATCCTTATCATTGACCAAAGAAGGACACCCCACTCTTAATCAAAATATCTTCTCCAACATTGCCTCCAGTTTTGGCTGTCAGTATCTCCCTTACTAGATGACAAGCGCCCAGATTCTTTTACCCTACAGGTGCATAGCAGGCATTCAAAAATTAGTTATGGAACTTTCTTTTACTAGGGACAAAGTTCCTTAAAGAGAAAAAGAAAACTATTGAAAGGATTACAAGTCACTATGTGAAGTTTAAATATTAGCACACCTAAAGAGGATTTACGAAATAAATCATCTACAGGCAGAACACCTGGACGAACCCACCACCAAAGGAAACTTTTAGTTGAACACCGTTTTCATTGCTTTTCACTGACGTCACTCGGTCACTGACCTCTGACGCAAAGAAGGCGGGAATAAGGAGACAGCTGGACTTTTTCTTCGCCCAGCCTTCGCTGGACTCGCTGGCACTAGCCCCGCCCTTTACCCGATTTGGCACTTCCATTGGTCAGTTTTCCCAAGGAGGCCGCCCATGAACCGACTACGCCCACTTTATGGGCGTAGCTACAACTCCACAGGGGCTGGGATGGTGGGGGTGGGATGCTGCATCCGCCATCTTTGATTCCGTGGTAGCGGTGGCGGCGGGAGGGTGCCGCTTCTGGGGAGTGGCTCTTCCCTCCCCCTCCCCTCCGGCTCGGTGGCGGCGGCTCCTCCCACTGAAGGGGGGTGGCGCGGCGGCGGTGGCATCTAGGCCATGGCGGCGACTACAGCTAACCCCGGTGAGCAATCGGTGGACTGGGGCGCTTGTAAAGGGGGAGGGGCCGAAGGGGCTGACAACTGAGGAGACCCATGGCTAAGAGGCGGTAGCAGGGGCTGAAGGTGCTGGGGCGGGCGGGGGCGGTGGGGGAGGGGAGTGATCTGGGGGAGGGTCCGACTCTGGGGGAGCCGGGGAGACTGGTGGACTGGGAGAGCCTAGCCAGCCAGTGGGACTCGAGGGTTTGCCCCAAACTCACTCTGTCGGAGCAGTAGCCCTCGCCGGCTGGCCTGCCACCACTTTTTCTGGCGGCGCTTGGGTCTGTGTTGCGGTGGGCTTTTAACCCTCTGCGGGCTGAAGTCCTCTGATGCCGGGGACCTGGAGGCAGAGTGGCTCGCTTGACTTGGAGAGTAGTTGGGATTCATGAACGTTGGGGCCACGTTGCTGTTTAGCTCAAGTCTAGCTTCCGACATTTAAACGTTTAGATTCTGACTTAAAACTTAAAATTCTCTGACTGTATCCTCAGATTCGCTAGGTTGTGTCACCCGCCCCACTCCGCCCCCTCGGGCTATGTACTTCGAAACTCGTGGTTGTCTATGAAGGGGGTTGTAGTTAGTGTCCTTTGCTGCCGAGGGCAGAGGTTTGTGTTACAGTTGTGGTTCAGGACAGGGCTTTTCTCAGAACTCCAGGTTTAAATCTAGTTAGGCCTAGGTCGAGACAGTTGATATTCGTTCAGGAAAGTTTAGTTACGTGCCATTTCTCAATGAACAGTAATTGAAAAAAAATCTAGCCAATCATGTGTAAGAGATGAAACAGGTTGTAATGCAGGTTTAGAGAGATCTTTAAATCCCTAATCCTCTTTCCACTACGTTACAGTTATTTCTCGCCGGGAAGTAGTTCATTTTAGGGGGCCTGGTTTATCTTGCCGTCCTTGGCCATTTTCTTGCAAAGTAAAGCCCATCCTTTCCCAGAAATCCAAATCTCTGATAGCGTTTAAGAAAAAAAAGGGGGTGGGTGGGGACTCCCTGCTGTCCCTCCCCGCGTTGAAATTTTAATTTGATTTTCTTTTTGTCTGTGAAAGGCAGTATTGTATTGCAATACCCAGGTTTTGAAATTTCAGTTGAATCACTGTGAAATTTACTGGCATTCCATTATATTTCTGGGAACACAGCTATTTTAAGAAGTGTTTAATTTGTCACATGTCAATATTAGTTTTTTAATAGTTTAAAACAATTTTTAAGAGAAAGGGAGATAAAATTAATGACTAAAATTTCCTTGGAGGAAGCTCTGGAAAAATGCTGTTAGGGAAAACCTGGCCTTGTAGTAAAATAACCTACCTGTGAACTAGGGAGTAGATAAAATTTTAAACTGATCACACATTGCAAAATCCTTATATAACTTTTGTCAAATTGCAGAGCATTTCTCTTATTAAGATGTGGCCTGGGTAAACAAGTTTTAGTTATATGTCAGAAGCTTTTTTCCAGCTGTGCGGGTGGGGTTGCTTTATTTTGTTTTGTTTTTAAACAACAATCACCAGAATGACAGTCTCTTGACCATATTTTCATAACCTGATCAGTATCAGTTTAAATCTCTAAGCAGAAAATAACATTTTTACAATGTGCAGAATCCTTGTTAATGAAACAAATGATTTTGTTTGAACAGACTTTGGCTGCTTGCTTATGTATTTTTTAGATTTTGCTTTTTTGTTTTGTTTTTTTTTGAGACAGGGTCTCACGTTGTAGCTCAGGCTGGCCTGGGACTCCCATTCCTTCTGCCTCAACTCCCCGCTTGGATTAACAGATTGACAGTAGTTACCATGCCTGGAAAGATTTCTTTTTTGGTGTTGAAAAATTCTTCAGTCTCTTCTAACTTACTGATCCTGTGTTCAATACATGATAATGAAATCAGAAATATATATATTTTTGTTCATATTTCTCTGTGCCCTTCTATGTCAAAAGGAAGAGATTATACGTGTGCAGTGGACTTTTTTAGTAGTATCCTGTTGCATTTTGGGAAATGAGACCCATTAATGGAGGGACATACTATGGAAATGTACTATGCTCAGTGAAAAGAATAATTTTCATTCAGAATTCCTTGCTGTGTTGTGATACCTTTAAGCATTGTAGGGACCAGGGACAGCATAATAATTTCTTTGAATTTTTTTTTAACTTTGTATTTTGCTGGAGTGAATACTGGTTTAGTTCTGTCTTCACACATCTGCAAAAGTTTTTTTTTTTTTTAATTTTATCGTTTTTACATTCACTTACATGTAAATGAGCTACCTACTTCCCCCCTGCAAAAGATTTTTTTAAAATATATTTCACTTTTCTGTCTGAGCTTCATTTTTTGTTAGAAACTAAGTTCATTATAAAAGAATTCAAATAGAACAGAGAATTTCAAGGAAAAAAGTAAAGCTATACCAAATTTTGTTATCTAGAAATAATCATTATTAATGGTCAAACATTATTCCAGATATTTTTCTGAATATGGATGGTCACATAAGGGCATATTAGATTGGGATATAGATAGCTACAAAGCAAAACAGAAAAAAATACAATTATGACCAGAGAATTAGGCTATATTTGCTATTAATGTTACTAAATCTAATTTTATTTAAATTAAATAAAAAAAGAAACACACATGAAACCTAAGAGATTGTTGAATTTCTAAGTATTGTTTTCTTACAATAAATGTTATTTTCTAAATCTTTCTAATACTCAAAAAAGGCATCATAAAATATTGAGGGCAGAGGCAGTAATTTTAAATATCGCCTTGTTAATCATATAGTCAGTATGGAGTTTTTCCTTACTGAGAAGATGAGATCTTAGTACCTTTCTGTTTCCTTCCATTTTTCCTTCACTGCAGCAATTTTTTTTTTTTTTTCAGTTCTGGGGTTTGAACTCAGGGCCCATGCTTGCTAAGCAGCCAAGCACTGTACCACTTGAGCCACTGCATCAACCCTTGCTACTACATTTTTGACAGCTACAGTATGGTTTTATGTTGACCTTTTCTTCTTGCTAAATTTCAGGGAAAATTCTCTTTTGTTATATTTTGAGTTATCTTTGTCTATTTTCTGTTTCTATTACTGTATTCATTTTTTTTTTTTTTTGGGTGGCACTGAGGTTTTATCTCACAGCTTCATGCTTATAAAGCAGGTGCTCTACCACTTGAGCCACAACTGCAGTCCATTTTGTTGGTCTGGTTATTCTGGAGATGGAATCTTGACAACTATTTTCCTGGGCTGGCCTTGAGCCAAGATCCTCCTGATCTCAGTCTCCCAAGTAGTTAGGAATACAGGTGTGAGCCACTGGCATCTAGCTGTACTAGGGTTCTTTAGAGGAACAGAACCAATAGAATACATATGTATGTATGTACATACACACACACACACATAAAATAAAATAGATTTTTTACATAAAATAAAATAGATTACTTTACACAGCCATTGAGGCTGGATGGTTCCATAATGGCTGCTTATAGGTGGAGAACCAGAGAAACCAGTAACTGCTCAGTTTAAGAAGCCAGAAGCCTCAGAACAAGAGGAATCAATGGTGTAGTCCCAGTCTGAGGCCAAAGGTCTGGAAGCTCCCTGGAGAGTTGCTCCTGTGAGTCCCTGTTGAAAGATTGAAGAAGTTGAAGTCCATGGGGGAAAGCAGCAGCAAAAGATGCACTCACTCAAGAAAAATGGAGCTTGCATGTATTGGTGTGCTCCTTTTTTCTTCTTTTTGTTCCACTGGGATCCCAGCTTGTTGGATGGGTCATGTTAAGGACAGATCTTCCTTCCTCTCTCAGTTTGCTGACCTATATGCAATTGTCTCTGGGAACATCTTCACAGACACACCCAGAAGTGTGTTTTACTCATTTCCTAGATGTCTCTCAATCTAATTAAACTGACACTAAGCTTCATTTGAGTTAATATTTAGGGTAATAACAATGCTTGTGCATGTAATTGTATTTTCTCTGAGATTTAAAGTTCAGCATTCAAACCTGCGATGTGAACTATTTTGTAGTGAGTCTAATAGGCTTTTCATCCCTGAATTGTGGTATTCTTATTAGCAGAAAAGTCTTCCTGTGTGCTATTATGACAATTTATTATGTATGGAGAATGTGATAGAGGGCAAATAAAGGAACACTGGGTTTCTAAGGCTGACACTTAAGACAAAGTTTTTTAAAATGTAATTTTCACCTATCTATAGTTTTAAAAACATAAATTAACAAAGTTCTTACTTAGGGTCTTGTGCAGGCCCTCTAACACTTGAGCCATATCCCTAGCCCTTTTTTGCTTTAGTAGTTTTTGAGATAGGGTCTGGCAGTTCTGCCCAGGGCTGGCCTTAGACTGCAGTCCTCCTACTTATGGCTTCTTGTGTAGCTGAAATTACAGGTGTTCACTACCATGCTCAGCTTGTTTGTTGAGATGAGTACTTACTTGCTAACTTTTTCCCTATGCTGACTTCAAACCATGATCCTCCCCATCTCTGCCTCCCAAGTAGCTTGGGATTATAGATTGAGCCACCATGTCCAGCCTCAAGGTAGTTTTTTAAAAAATTATATTCTATTGCAAAGACCTTCTAAACATAATGAAATAGGGCTGGAGGAATGACTCAAGTGGTTGAGTGCCTGCCTAGCATACTCAAGATCTTAAGTTCAAACCCCAGTACCATCTATCTGTCTATCCCTCTCTCTCTCTCTATCTTGTCTGTCTGTCTGTCTATCTATCTATATTACTACTTTGGCAGTTGAAATACAGTTAACATTTTTGAAATGACACCTCAGTCTGAATACGTTTTATGCAATAGACTTGTAGCACCAAACTTTGGAATTGTCTGTTTCTTAGAAATGATGAAGTAGATACTTTGGTATTCTTGGAAGTCTGTAGTTTTCTTGTTGTTTTGAAATTGTGGACTCTCTAGGCCGGTGGCTCATTCCTGTAATCCTAGCCACTTGGGAGAAAGAGATCAGGAAGATTGTGGTTTGGGGCCAGCCTGGGCAGATAGTTGTAGCAAGCATAAGGCTCTGAGTTCAAACTTTAGCACCCCCACGCCCCCACAATGTGGCTTCTTAGATTAGTTTTCTGCATCTGAGACGTTCCTCCTCATTCCAGTAGTTTACTAAGGGATGACAGTAT